CTTTATTGGAGTATAATTGCTTTACAATGGTGTGTTAGTTTCTGCTTTATAACAAAGTGAATCAGTTATACATATACATATGTTCCCATATCTCTTCCCTCTTGCGTCTCCCTCCCTCCCACCGTCCCTATCCCACCCCTCCAGGTGGTCACAAAGCACCGAGCTGATCTCCCTGTGCTATGCGGCTGCTTCCCACTATGCTTCCCACTAGCTATCTATTTTACGTTTGGTAGTGTATATATGTCCATGCCACTCTCTCGCTTTGTCACAGCTTACCCTTCCCCCTCCCCATATCCTCAAGTCCATTCTCTAGTAGGTCTGTGTCTTTATTCTTGTCTTACCCCTAGGTTCTTCATGACATTTTTTTTTCTTCTTAAATTCCATATATATGTGTTAGCATACAGTTTTTGTCTTTCTCTTTCTGACTTACTTCAGAAAGGACAGCCTCTTCAATAAGTGGTGCTGGGAAAACTGGACAGGTACATGTAAAAGTATGAGATTAGATCACTCCCTAACACCATACACAAAAATAAGCTCAAAATGGATTAAAGACCTCAATGTAAGGTCAGAAACTATCAAACTCTTAGAGGAAAACATAGGCAGAACACTCTGTGACATAAATCACAGCAAGATCCTTTTTGACCCACCTCCTAGAGAAATGGAAATAAAAACAAAAATAAACAAATGGGACCTAATGAAACTTCAAAGCTTTTGCACAGCAAAGGAAACTATAAACAAGACCAAAAGACAACCCTCAGAATGGGAGAAAATATTTGCAAATGAAGCAACTGACAAAGGATTAATCTCCAAAATTTATAAGCAGCTCATGCAGCTCAATAACAAAAAACAAACAACCCAATCCAAAAATGGGTGGAAGACCTAAATAGACATTTCTCCAAAGAAGATATACAGACTCCCAACAAACACATGAAAGAATGCTCAACATCATTAATCATTAGAGAAATGCAAATCAAAACTACAATGAGATATCATCTCACAACAGTCAGAATGGCCATCATCAAAAAATCTAGAAACAATAAATGCTGGAGAGGGTGTGGAGAAAAGGGAACACTCTTGCACTGCTGGTGGGAATGTGAATTGGTACAGCCACTATGGAGAACAGTATGGAGGTTCCTTAAAAAACTACAAATAGAACTAACCATATGACCCAGCAATCCCACTACTGGGCATACACCCTGAGAAAACCATAATTCAAAAAGAGTCATGTACCAAAATGTTCATTGCAGCTCTATTTACAATAGCCCGGAGATGGAAACAACCTTAGTGTCCATCATCGGATGAATGGATAAGGAAGATGTGGCACATATATACAATGGAATATTACTCAGCCATAAAAAGATTTGTAATGAGGTGGATGGACCTAGAGTCTGTCAACATTTTCTTTTAATTGAAGTATAGATGACATACAATACCGTATGTTACAGGTGTAAAATACAGTGATTCACAATTTTTAAAGATTATATTCTATTTATAATTATTATAAAATATCGACTACATTCCTTATGTTGTACAATATATCCTTATAGCTTCCCCCCCCTGCCCCCCACCGCATCGCACTACATGCAGGATCCTAGTTCCCCAATCAGGGATCGAACCTACGTCCCTCTGCAGTGGAAGTGCAGAGTCTTAACCACAGGACTGCCAGGGAAGTCCCCTTATAGCTTATTTTATACATAACAGTTTGTACCTCATAATCCCCTACCCCTATATTGCCCTTCCACTTTCCCTCTCCCCACTGATAACTGTTAGTTTGTTGACTATATCTCTGAGTCTGTTTCTTTTTTGTTATATTCACTAGTTTTTTGTATTTTTTATTTAGTTTTATTTTTTAAAGGTTATACTTCATTTATAGTTATTATAAAATATTGACTATATTCCCTCTGTTGTATAATATAACGTTGTAGATTATTTTATACCTAATAGTTTGTATCTCTTAATTCCCTACCCCTGTATTGCCCCTCTCCGCTGCCCTCTCCCCACTGGTAACCACTAGTTTGTTCTCTTTATCTGTGAGTCTGCTTTTTTGTGATATTCGCTAGTTTGCTGTACTTTTTTAGATTCCACATATAAGTGATATCATACAGTATTTGTCTTTCTCTGCCTGACTTCTTTCACTTAGCATAATGCTCTTCAAGTCCATCCATGAGGCTGTAAACAGCAAAACTGCATTTTTTTATGCTTCAGTAGTATTCCATTACATATATACACCACATCTTCTTTATCCATTCATCTGTTGATGGACACTTAGGTTGCTTCCATATCTTGGCAACTGTAAATAATGCCGCTATGAACAATGAGGTGCATGTATCTTTTTGAATTAGTGTTTTTTTTTTTTTTTGGATATATACCCAGCAGAGGGACTGATGGGTAATATGGCAGTTCTATTTTTAGTTTTTGGAGAAAACTCCATACTGTTTTCCACAGAGGCTGCACCAATTTACATTCTCAACAGTGTATGAGGGTTCCCTTTTCTCCGCATCCTCACCAACACTTGTTATTTGTGTTCTTTTTGACAACAATCATTCTGACAGGTGTGAGGTGTTACCTCACTGTGGTTTTGACTTGCATTTCCCTGATGATTAGCGATACTGAGAATCTTTTCACATGCCTATTGGTCATCTGCATGTCCCCTTTGGAAAAATGTCTATTCAGGACTTCTGCCCAGTTTTTAATTGGCTTGTTTTTTTGTTTTGTTTTGTGGGGGCCACACCACATGGCATGCAGGATCTTAGTTCCTTAACCAGAGATTGAATGCATGCCCCCTGCAGTGGAAGCATGGAGTCTTAACCACTGGACTGCCTGGGAAGTCCCAGCTTGTTTGTTTTTTTGATGTTGAGCTGCGAGTCATTTATATATGTTGGATATTAACCCCTTATCAGTCATAGCATTTGCAAATGTTTTCTCCCATTCAGTACGTTGTCTTTTCATTTTGTTGATGGCTCCTTCGCTGTGCAAAAGATTTTAAGTTTAATAAGGTCCCATTTGTATATTTTTGTTTTACTTCCTTTGTTTGAGGAGACAAATCTAAAAACATATTGCTATGATTTATGTCAAAGAGTGCTCTGCCTAAGTTTTCTCCTAGGGAATTTATGGTTTCTGGTCTTACACTTATGTCTTTAATCCATCTTTAGTTTTTGTATATGGTGTTAGCGAATGTTCTAATTTCCTTCTTTTACATGTAGCTGTCCAGTTTTCCCAGCATCACTTATTGAAGAGACTGTCTTTTCTCCATTGTAAATTCTTGCCTCCTTTGTTGTAGATTTATTGACCGTAAGTGTGTGGGTTTATTTCTGGGCTCTCTATTCTGTTCTATTGAGCTATGTGTCTGTTTTTGTGCCAGGACCAAACTGTTTTGATTACTGTAGCTTTGCTGCATAGTCTGAAGTCAGGGAGCATGATTCCTCCAGCTCCATTCTTTCTCAAGATTGTTTTGGCTATTGGGCATCTTTTATGTTTCCATACAAATTTTAAGATTTTTTTGTTCTAGTTCTGTGAAAAATGCCATTGGTATTTTGATAGGGATTGCACTGAATCTGTAGATTGCCTTGGGAAATTATGGTCATTTTAACAATATTAATTCTTCCAATCTAAGAACATGGTACATCTTTTAATCTGTTTGTGTCACCTTCAGTTACTTTCATCAGTGTCTTACAGTTTTCTGATTACAGGTCTTTTACCTCCTTAGGTGGCTTTATTCCTAGCTTACCTTATTCTTTTTGATGCAATGGTAAATGGAACTGTTTCCTTAATTTCTCTTTCTGATAGTTCATTGTTATTGTATAGAAATGCAACATATTTCTGTATATTAATTTTGTATCCTAAAACTTAACCAAATTCATTGATGAGTGCTAGTAGTTTTCTGGTAGTATCTTTAGGATTTTCTATGTATAGGATCATGTCATCTGCAAACAGTGACAGTTTTAGTTCTTCCTTTCTAATTTGGATTCCTTCTATTTCTTTTTCTTGTCTGATGGCTGTGGCTAGGACCTCCAACACTATGTTGAATAAAAGTTGGTATTCTCATTTAAAGCTCAAAAACAAACTTTGTTTATAAATGGCTTTTTGATGGATGGCCGTCCTGCTTTTCACTGGGATCCCCCATATATTAATACTTACAGACCTTTTTTCTCAGGCCATTTAGATTTTCCAGAGATTATTTTAGCTCCAGTCTGAAGCTACTTTTATACCATACTGTAGGACCCCTGGAGATAGATCAAGGGAAGAAGCTGGTACTTCACCACACAGTATAAAAATGTTAACTTGAACTTTGACTTTTGACCTCACACTACCCCTACTAAAGACCCAACTTGGTGTGCTGAGTCCAAAGCCTCAATAGTTTAATGTCTCCACTCCATATACCTCCAGTTTTTAGGTGTGTGGGTAAAAGTTAGTCTCTTGATTGCAAAAGAGAGAGGGAGAAGGTCTAGTAGTCTGTTCTTACTTTAAAAAAAATCTCCTTGTTTTTAGTTCCACACTTGAACCCTGAATTTTGAAGTACAAGGTTCCTTCAAATTCAAAGCCTTTCTCTTCAGTTCTGTAGGGCAGATAATCTCTCTTGTTATCATTACTTCTGTCTCTTGGAACACAGATACTTTTCTATTTCCATGCTCTACAACCTTGTTTAAAATTCTTCTTTGCCTCTATCTTCTCTCCTATACTTTGATCTAATAAACTGACACTTTAAAAAAATCTTTATTGACATTTATGTTAAGTTTTGGGGAAAGATATACATGTATGATCATTTAGCTATGTTTAACCTTTTTCACTTTGATTATGAAGAGTTTAATCAACTAAAAATTAAGTACAAGAGTAAGGTTTACATATTTAATTCAAAATTCAAATCATCTAAAATATCCTGTTCAATAAAACGTAATTAATACAATTTTAAAGTGGTTTCATCTTACTCGTTATGGCATGAGCTTATCCAAAACACTTCTAGTTATAAGTTATTTTGGATTACTATAAATTCAGTAACTTACCTCTTCTTTTCCTAATGTTACCAGAACTTCTTCATTCAGTGGAATCACTACAGGAACAAAATAAACCAAAATTATACATATGCTTAGTTAAGTCTCAAAAATCAAGAATTTGATTTTATGGTTTCTGAGATACCCCTTTCCCTTTCCATTTATATATTACAGAACTTTTTATGAGATGTGTACAGTTTTTATGAAATATTTTAATTTAACATCTTATATAGCCAACTTATATATCATTTTAGACAAATGTGATATTTATGCCTTTTGTTTTCAGTGCCTTTTTCTCTTCTCATTTTATTTTCCTAATCCATCAAAAACAAAATTAATAATCTACAGTGTGTTCCTTAAATATTTCTGTGGTTACATGATTCTATGCATACATATACACATATTTGTACATATTTGTACATATACATGCAAGTGTTATTAATTTTCTTATTGCTGGTTTTACAAGAATGAGATAATATCATACATATTATTCTTATTTTCACCCAAAAAAACCCCCATGGAAATCCTGTATATTCATTTGGTGTAAGTCTAATTCATAATTTTAAATCACTGTATAATATTCTGCAGGGTAAATACACCAAATGTGTTCAGGGATTTCACTACTGATTCAGCATTGACTTTGTGTCTAGTTTTTAGCCTCAAAAAACAATGACACAGGAAGCATTCTTTTATTTATGTCTTTATATATTGGTGCTCTCATTCCTGTGGGATAGATTCTCAGAAAGTGAATTTCATAGAAGGAAATGTGTATTTTGAATTTTAAAACAGGATGCTAGATTCTTTTAATTTTTCTAGAAGCAATGAACAAGAAACAGCAAAAGATACTATAAAATCTTCTAAAATTTTTGCCAGTCTAATGAGTATAAACTAATATTCCTTAATTAATTTACATAGCAAAATCAAATCCCTTATACTTAGAAAAGTTCAACTCATACTAAGAAAAGTTTATCTTTCCTAATGAAGTGCTATTTAAATTTCTCAAATGATATGCTACTGAAACTTTCTAAGCTATTTGCCATTCTAGAGGGTTTTTTAATAGAAAAGAGCTATGTACTTCATAGGCCCTGTATTAGAACTAATTATAGGTAGCCCTAGGATGGCTATACAATGAAAAGGATTCTAAAAACATAAAGTTCAAAAATCTCCCTCTTGGCGAGTGTGGCCAAAAGTAGCACTTCAATGCTAAAACAATCATTTCAACAGATACAATATGACAGGCTCTAAGAATATAAAGATTTTAATAATCTTTCCAGTGTGGCAGTGTACAGGATTCACAACCTTAAGCAAGGTGGGTATTTGACCAACAGGTCAGTGTGTTCAGTGCTGGCAGTACAAGGTTTGTACGTAAAAGATTATGAAAATAAGAAAAATTAAAATTTTAAATTCCCTGACATATAGCATCAAAAAGAATAAAATACTCAAGAACAAATTTAATTTAGGAAGCAAAGAACTTATACGCTGAAAACTACAAAATGTTGCTGAAAGAAATTAAAGACACACCAATGAAAAGAAAAAAACATCCGGTGTTCAAGAAGTGTTAAAACTTAATGTTATTAAGATGCCAATAACACCCAAAGCAATCTACAGATTCAATGTAATCTCTATCAAAAACCCAATGATGTTTTTGTAGAAATAGAAAAATTCATCCTAAAATTCACATGGAATCTCAAGGGACTCCAAATAGCCAAAACAATCTTGAAAAAGAACAAATTTGGGGGTCTCACACTTCCTAATTTCAAAACTTACTACAAAGCTACAATAATCAAAACAGTGTGCTACTGGCATAGAGACAGAGATATAGACCAATAGAATAGAGAGCCCAGAAATAAAAATCCTCACTGTGGGGACTTCCCTGGTGGTCCAGTGGTAAAGAATCTGCCTTACAGTGCAGGGGATGCAGGTTCGAGCCCTGGTCCGGGAAGATCCCACATGTCGCGGGGCAACTAAGCCAGCACGCCACAACTACTGAGCTAGAGCGCCCCAACGAGAGGGCCCACGTGCCTCAAACTACAGAGCCCACATGCTCTGGAGCCCGTGCACCACAACTACAGAGCCCATGTGCCCTGGAGCCCGCACGCCACAACTAGAGAGAGAAAACCCATAGGCCACAACTAGAGAGAAGCCCGTGCACCACAACAAAGACCCGACACAGACAAAAAAATAAATTAAATAAATATTTTAAAAAATCCTCACTGTATGATCAATTGATTTTTTTTGAATTTATTTTTTTATACAGCAGGTTCTTATTAGTTATCCATTTTATACATATTAGTGTATATATGTCAATCCCAATCTCCCAACTCATCACACTCCCACCCCACCTCCCCCCCACACCATCAATTGATTTTTGACAATGGTGTCAGGATAGTTCAATGGGGGAGAGAACAGTTTTCTCAACAAATGGTGCGGGGAAAACTAGATAATACACATGCAAAAGAATGAAGCTGGACTTTCAACTTTTCATTAAGTTTGAAAATTTCTAAAATTAATTAAAAAAATTCTTGATCAAGAGGTAAAAAGTCTATTTTAATAAAACTAGTGGATTGATGATAAAGGCCTAAAGTAAATCTGTGGCAGTAGGGCTCAATATTTAATGACCAGCTATATGTGAAATGGGAAAATCTAGAAGAATCTAAAAGGACTCTTAAATTTGTAGCTGATCAAATAGATTCCATTCAATGTGTCAGAGAATGGCAATCAGTTCATGAATCTGAGGCATCTGTAGAATAATTTGGAAAAGAAGTCTAGAAGGTAGAAAGATATATAAGTGTGATATTACAGAGAAGTCTGGTTTGGATATACAGACTTGAAAGTTGTTGTGGAAATTGTGTGTCCTCTCCCTATCCCCCCACCCTCTCCCACCCCACCCAAAATCAGATTTTGACGCCCTAATCTCCAGTACCTCAAAATGTGACTATATTGGGGCTGGATCTTTAAAGAGGTAATTAAGTTAAAACAAGGTCATCGGGATGGGCCTTACTCCATTATGAATGGCATTCTTATACAAAGAGATTAGAACACAGACAGGTAACCATGTGAAGACCCAGAAAGATGATAATCTATTAGGCAAGGAGAGAGGCCTCAGAAGAAACCAACCCTGCCAACACCTTGATCTTGGACTTCTAGCCTCCAGAATTGTGAAGGAAAAAAAAATCTTCTGTTGTTTAAGCAAATCAGTCATGCTACTTTGTTATGGCAGCTCTAGCAAACTAATATAGAAGTCATTAATACAGATATAATCCATAAAAACAGAAGCAGAAAATATAATGTTGAAATAGCATATAGAGTAAGAAGCAAAAATCGCTGAACACAGTCAACTGGAGAACACCAACATTTTAATAGCAGAGTATGAGCAGTCTCTGAGATGCCCAATATAATGCTAGAGGAGGCAATAAGAAAAACAGTTGAATGCAAATTAAAATAAAAATTGTATACACATACCTATCTGATGTGCCAAAATTAAAAAAACTACAAGGTGAGGACTTCGCTGGTGGTGCAGTGGTTAAGAATCCGCCTGCCAATGCAGGGGACACGGGTTCGAGCTCTGGTCCAGGAAGATCCCACATGCCGCAGAGCAACTAAGCCCGTGCACCACAACTACTGAGCCTGCATGCTGCAACTACTGAAGCCTGTGCACCTAGAGCCTGAGCTCGGCAAAAAGAGAAGCCACCGCAATGAAAAGCCAGCACACTGCAACGAAGAGTAGCCCCCGCTCACTGCAACTAGAGAAAGCCCACACGCAGCAACGAAGACCCAATGCAGCCAAAAAAAAAAAAAAAAAAAGACTACTAGGTGGTAGTGAAGACACAAAACAATGGTGGACATTGGCATGAATATAGTAGTTTAAAACAAGAATGCAGATAAAATTGGGAAGAGAATGAGGAGAAAAGAATCCCAATAACTGGGATAGAGAATGGAGAGTAAACTAAGAAGGGATGGGGGGGGACCTAAAAGAAACAGGACAGAGGGGCAGGAGAAAGCAGAAGGGAGACGTAAATGAAAAAAGAGGGTACAATCCATATATAAGACCAAATACAGACATACATACCACATAAAGGAATGTAGGCTTTAATAACAGAAAAATATCTCCTAGTTGGGTATTATAATTACAGATTTTTAAGGCTTTTTTTTTTTTTTTTAATTTATTTGGCTGCACCGGGTATTAGTTGTGGCATGCAGGATCTTCATAGCAGGATGCAGGATCTTTAGATGAGGCATTCAGGATCTTTAGTTGCAGCATGCGGGATCTAGTTCCCTGACTAGAGATTGAACCTGGGACCCCTGCATTGGGAGTGTGGCATCTTAACTACTGGACCAGCAGGGAAGTCCCTTTTAAGCCATTTTCTATTGCTCAACCAAAGGCAAAAATATAGTTGGCCTCAGTTGGACAAGTCAAAAGGCAACATAAAATCTATGTGGCCCTTATGTAAGTAAGTATCTAAAATAATTTCTCTCTTCCACTAAGTAAGTTTCATTCATTAAGAAACAATTTACAGTTTCTACTGAGCATGTAAAACAGTGTCTCCACCTGCTGATGCAGTGGACACGGGTTCGTGCCCCAGTCTGGCAAGATCTCACATGCTGCGGAGCGGCTGGGCCCGTGAGCCATGGCCACTGAGCCTGCGCGTCCGGAGCCTGTGCTCCGCAACGGGAGAGGCCACAGCAGTGAGGGGCCCGCGTACCACACAAAAAAAAAAAAAAAAAAAAAGTGTCTATGAGGATACAATGATGGCTGTAATAAAATCTCCATAATCAAGATTACTATATTCTAATGTGAGGCAGATATGTTCATCTATAATAATAATGAAGTATGAAATAATGTGTGTAAAAAAAGAAAAATAACGTGACTTCCTAATAGCAATGGAAATTATTAGGCAATTTCAAGAGGGTAAATGGACCTTGAATTCTTCTTGTGAACATTAAATTAATTCACCATTAATTTGTTTACAAAAATATAAGCCTAAAAATAAGAATCTTACTTTCAGGAGTTTCTTTCTGCCATTGACTGAGTTCAGCAGTCAAACATTTCACTTGAATAATTAATAATGACAGCTATTTAAAAAAAAAGAACAAGAGAATAAAACAAAGTCATTTCTTGTGGAATATTCATATTTATTCATAGATGAAAGCGTAGACAGTCTTAATACTTTAACACAAGTTCCTAACATAAATGGTTAACACAATAGCAATCAAAACTATAAAAAATTATCACTCCTAACAGAATTTTCCTTTAAATGGCTTATAAGTTGCCATTACACCAGCAATACAGTATTAAAAATGATCAATTCTAACTTCACCATTCAACCTAAAAAAACCTAAGTACATTAAGTTTATTCCCTAAATTAATATTCTTTTAAAAAAAGAATGTTATTTCTTGCCAACATTTTTTAAACAAATTTGCTTTAAATATGCTTTTTTTTTCCTTTCTATGCACTTTCAGAAAAATTGCAAGTATGTTTAGCTGAGCAGTTAAAAGTAAGTTTAAATATCAATACATATATAAAGACAATTATAAAATGAGACTGGTTCCACAAATCACATATAAAAACCAGTTTTACTACACAATAGTTTGTAAACTGTGTACCCCTTTAGCCAAAAATAAATTAGGATAAATGTTTCTAATATTAGGTGATTCCAATCATTGTAAATTTGATAATTATAAATCTGTGTGATAAATCTGTTGCCTGATTAGACCATAAAATTAAAACTTATGCATGCTTAAATTTCAGAACATTTTTTATCTCCTCTATATAATTTTTATACATAGACAAACAGATCAAAAATTCACATTTCAAAAATGCAATAGGTATTCCTGTAATATTTATACTAAAAGGACACCAAGTACTCTTTTTTAACAAATTTTTATGATGCAGAGTGGGGAGCTCAAAGACCCTGCTCTGGATCATAACACTGGCTGTTGAACAGTCAGAGAAAAAAACCCTAGTCTCTTTGAAAGATTTATATAATTATATAAAAATGCATTTACAGGTATTAAAATTTTTACCAAAAAAGAGTTTAACATTATTTTCTTAGAGATAATTAAATAAGAATGTAAAAAAGTTTTTTGTGAACTATACAGTGATTTATAAATGTTAATTATTATTATTATTATTACTGGAAAAGGATAACAAATACTTAAAAAGTACTATTTAAACTAGGCAAAACTCTCATAATGATAAGGTATCTATATCACTTTTCCTGAACATATTAGATTGAAATATATAAAATTACTGATACTTATTTTTGAACCTATTAAAAAACTGTAATTTAACCTCATACTATACTGATGAAACTCAGCTCTTACCTTCTAAAGCCCAGCTAAAGCAAACACCCAAATTATTTGATACTGATATAAAATTAAACCCTTTCTGAAAAAAAATAGCAGTAGTATTTCTAAAGTGATTTAAACACACATATTTGAGAAATCCTGCCATTTTCTCATTTAAATATCTAACTTCTTGCTTTGGAAAATGGATTGAGTTTTAATATTGAAGTTTTGAAGTTAACAGATATGTCAAAAAGAGTTAACAAAGCAAGCCTGAAATTATGCTTAAAGGCCTGCTTGGAAGGTTGGCCCTTGGCTGGCATCTGGCTTCAGAAGGTTCCCACCAACCTAACTCACAAGAGTGGCTCTCTGTGCCTAAAGTGTGAGAAAATACAATTTATGCTAAACACCTGCTTTCCTCCTGAGAGTCTAGTATTTTGATAACTGCTAGGCAAGGGGTGCCTATGTGACTATCCCCCACAAAAAACTCTGGGCTCTGAGTCTCTAATGAGGTTCCCTGGTAGACAACATTTCACACTCATTGTCACAACTCATTGGGGTAATTAAGCACGTCTTGTGTGACTCCACTGGGAGAGGCTCCTGAAAGCTTGTGCCTGGTTTCCTCTGAACTTCAACCCATGCTTCTTTTCCCTTTGCTGATTTTACTCTGTATCATTTCAGTGCAATAAATCCCGGCCATGAGTATGACAATGAGTACTGTGAATGTTCCTAGAGAATCATCAAACCTGGGAGGAATATTAGGGATCTCTAACAAAATAGGAAAAGACATTTTGTGGATTCTTTAGATAATGCTATTATTGACTATCTCAGGATACTGATTATTTACAACTACATAAGCACTTCCCTCAAAACCAAGTGTTTGGCTTACTACCTGAAAATCATTCAGGAAACTTACAGACTTCATCCCTAGTGACTCTGATTCAGTAGGTCTCAATTTCTACAACATAAGAACCACATTTCCCAAGGAAACCATATAATTATTTATTTACTGTACAATATTTTTCCAAATAAAACATTCAGTTTTACCCTGTATAAAAGAACACTATTTATTTATTGATGGATAAAAAGCTTTTTACAAAAGATGGCTTAATTTTTTTATCACCAATTTTTAGAGATCTGGTGTAATAGGCACTTCTAAAAGTGACAAATTAGTTTTTTCCTCTTTTTCTCTCATTCTCATTTATTACTGAGTATTATTATGCTCACAGGTTTTTATGTTTTCACATCATTATAATCAATTGAAGCCATTATTTCTTTTAATGCTCACATGATACTAAATTTGGACAGCCAAGTGCCTTCAATTGGTTCCAATGTCTTTTGACATGCTCCCACTAGTTTTGGAGAACTTTCATTGGAATTATTTGTATATTTAAATCTGTTCTTAGAATTTTTATCACTAAAACATTTTTAACTTTTTATATGGTCAAATGCATCTAAGTTTTCTTTTACCATGTCTAAATTTCTATTATCAGCCGAGACATTTTCCCCTGGTCTCTAACTAGATTGCACAAATAGTCTCCAGCTTTTCTTGTAAGATTTTCATAGCAATTCATCCAGAATTTATGTTTATATAATGAAAGATAGAAGTCCAATTTTATTTTCTCCCAGATGGATATACAGTTGTATCACTATCATTCATTAACTAATTCATCCCTTTCTCAAAGATTGGAACTATCATCTTTGTCATATTTTAAATTCTTAATCTGTTGCACTGAACCACTGGTTTATCTCTAAACCAATTCCATAGGTCTTTGCATTTTGAAATGAATATTTTAATCCTTTTATTAAGCTTAGGGTAAAATCAGTTAAGATTCCACACAGACAGTAAAATAACTGTGGCTACTGCACCTAACACAAAGTACGACAGTATTTGTTCTAATTTTTAACACGGTATCATAATAGCAGCCAATGAGTAATTCACTCAAAGTTGAATGTATGTGTAGTTGTTAAAAGATAAACGATAAAGAATTTATTTATAACAGATTATTCAAAAAGTTTTTAAAATACTCCTCTTAAATCAGAAAGAGTAGAAAATTTTCCAAATCATTAAGCATACAGGTATTAACAAAGCTATTATACTTGGCATAAATATAGATGACACACTTCTTATCTAAAACAATAAATTCCACTTACCTACTTTTCGGAAGAACAAAAAGAATCATACCTGAGCATTTGAATCAGTGAGTGTCTCAGTTCCAACAAGCGATAATTTGTTCTGACACTTGATTTAAAAAGTAAAGAAAAACAAGTCACACACTATACACCACAAACAATTCCTTTTCCTTGTCCTTTTATACCAATGTAATATTCCTCTAAAACAATATACAAATATCTGATATATGAGAAGAGTTTGTTTAAATTCTTTACTTCCTAAGCAAGAGGATCAGGAAGGCAGCCAAATAGGACCCAAAGTGAACAGATCAGAAGTAAAAGTGGGGCTTCCCTGGTGGCACAGTGGTTGGGAGTCCGCCTGCTGATGCAGGGGACACAGGTTCGTGCCCCAGTCCGGGAGGATCCCACATGCCGCGGAGCGGCTGGGCCCGTGAGCCGTGGCCGCTGAGCCTGCGCGTCCGGAGCCTGTGCTCCACAACGGGAGAGGCCACAACAGTGAGAGGCCCGCGTACCGCAAAAAAAAAAAAAAAAAAAGTAAAAGTGGATGCTTAACTCAACACAGAATGAAAAGATGAGCATAAGAAAAACAAAAACAAAAATTAATAGCTAGGGTGAATTAGAAACGAGATAACGGAAAAATGGGAAATAAAGAACAAGGGGGAAAACATTACAGAAAGATAACAAAAGAGGTAAGAAGATAGTTAAGATCATAAGAAAATAAAGCCATCAGGAGACATTGTTACTATGCCATTAAAAAAAAATCCATAATTGTTAATAGTGATTATATCTGAGTAAAAATATGGGCAATTAAAATTTTATTTGTGCTTATTTCTAGGCGCAGTATTTTTCCATCAAAAAAAATTTCAGTTTTTTTAATTCAAATTTCTATATCGAAAAAATTTCCAAAGCAATACAAATTATCTTGAAAATACAGTAATAATACAGAGTACCAAGGATATATGTTAAAAAAAATTTTTTTTTAAAAGAAAAAAACCCCACTAACCTGCCTTGATCTGAAACCTTACTGGGAAGAATAGGATGTAAAAAAATGTCTGTGGCCTATATTATACATTACACTATTTTAAGTAAAACAAATTTTTACCAGCATACTATAGTGCACCAGAAGTGATTCTACCCCAGTAACTCAGAAAATGTACATACGCTTCAAACACAACGTTTTCTAAATTAATTCATATTTTCACTCAAACTCCATAAGTATGTGTTCTCCCCCTTTATATTCTCTATCTTGGGAAATAACCTCACCAACCACTCAATAGCCCAAACCAGGAACCTGAAACTATCTGTAATTCCCCCTCCCCATTTCACAACAATTAACCTCCAGGTCCTTTTGGTCCAAACTTCTTAGCATCTCTTGAATCCATTTTTCTATTTGCAATGACAAGACTTAGGCTTCAGTACGTCTTACAGGACTACTACTAGAGACTCCTAAATATTCTTTCTTTGTATAGTCTCACTCTTCTGCATTCCATCTTCTTCAAAACCACCAGTTATTTTCTCAATCAAGATATCTCATCAGGTCACTTCATGTCTATAATCCTTTAATCATTCCCCATAATATACATTCAACAAAATCCTTCATGTGTTGCCCCTAATTACCTCTCCAGTCTCACTCTACATATCCTTCTTCTCCTAATTTACATGTCATACTATTCTACTTAGAGTTCTCTAAACTCTCCCAACATTTATATATTTTGTTCTTTCTGCTTTGTATACCTCTTCCACTTTCACAGGCTAACTCCTATTTATTCTTTAGAAATGAACTCAGTTATTTCCTCTTTTAGAAAGCTATCTTTGGCCCCTTCAGTCTAGGCTTAGTACTCCTCCTAAGTATAGTCTTTGAACTTTACCACCACACTTCTAATATAATTTGTTATTGCCTCCATTAGATGATAATCTTCTTCAGGGTAGGGACTGCCATAATTTTCTCTCTTTCTACAGCTCACCTAGTATAAAGTTTCTTAAATGAATGCTTATAGGTCTAAAAAATATATAAGTATTTATCATATAATGGCTTTCAGAATCCAGCATAATTATTTCTTTCCTGAGTCTATTATTGAAATGGAATTCAATCTTATAGTAAGTAATTGGGATATCACTTTCATGTCTTGATACTTACTTCTTCCATATCTTTCCACATTTCTTCACATTTTTTAATAAGCTCTTCTTCAGCACCTGTAACATCTTCCACATCTGTAGTACTATCTGGATCTAGATGTTGCTGATTCACTGACATGTGCCTTGTGATTTTCTTAGCCTTGTGAGAAAAACTAAAGTATAAAAAATAGTCATTTAATAATATTTGTTGAATACCCATTACCTGTCAGATACTCACCTAGGCGCTAACGATGTAACAGTGAAGAAAATAGGCAAAAATTCCTCCAACCATGGAGCTTACATTCTAGGTGAGGAAAACAGAATAAACTAAAAAGATTAAAATAAATATAAAGAAGCTATAATAAAAAGATTTTAAAAATATAGTGTTGCATATCAAATAATTTGTAAGTACAATGAAGAAAAGCAAGACAAGGAAGAAACACAGGGAGTGCTGAGACAGGGGCAATGTAATTTTACGTAAGGTGGTCATATAAGGTCAATGAGAGGTTGACAACTTAGCCAAAACATGAAGGAAACAAGGAAGTAAGACCTGTGGATATTTAGGGAAAGAGGCTCCAGGCAGAGGGAAATGTAAGTACAAAAGCCTTGGGGAAGGAACATGACTGCTGTGTCCTAAAGCAGTAAAGTAGCCACGGTGATTAGAGCAGAGTAAGGCAGAGAATACAAGATGAAGTCAGAGAGATAATAAGGATGAGATCATGTGGGCTTTGCAAGTCATTTTAACGATATAGGCTGGGATGTTAAGTGATTAGAGGGCTTTGAACAGAGGGATGACATGATTTGAATTGTATTTTAACATTATAACTCTGGATAACTACAGCCAGTAAGGAGAGAAGTAGGAAAACCAGTTAGAAAGTTACTGCAATGATCCAAGTAAGATGGGGACCAGCATAATATTGAGAGAGTACAAAATGTCCAATTCTAAATATATTTCCAAGATAGAGCCAAAAGGATTTCCTAGCAGTCTGTTTATAGAGTGTCAAAGAAAGAGATGAATCAATTATTATTTTAAAAGTTTGGGCCTAAGCAATTGGAAAGATGGAGTTGTCAGTTACTGAAATGGGGAAGATGATAGAAGAAACAGATTCAGCAAGGCATGAGATGCTGATTAAGAATCCAGTTCAGGACGTGCTAAATTTAAGGTATCTATTAGTGGAGCTGCTATTTAGGCAACTGGATATACATGTTTGCAGTTCATGGGAAAGTTTCGAGCTAGAATTTGAGTCACCCCCATACAGATATTTAAAGCCATGAGGCTAGGTGAGATCAGAAAAGGAAGAGTGTACAGATAGAAATGAGAAGAGTTCCAGACCTGGAGAGACTGAAGAGATGAGGAAATAGTCTGAGAAGGAGTGACCTAAATAGTCTGAGAAGGAGTGACGCATAAGGTAAAAGGAAAAAAAGAGTATGATATCCTGAACTCCAAGATCAGTGTTCAAGGAAGGAGTGATGAACTATCAACTACTAGTGATAGGTCAAGTAAGATAAAAACAGAGAATTGACAATTTACTTGGCAATATGGTTAAGGGACTGTATTTTCCAAAAATAGTCAGCAATATTTCAGGTTGTCACTCCCCAACAAGAGGCAGAGCCTCTTTACCCTCCCCCTTGAACCTGAGTATGCCTTTCTGACTACTTATATGAATAGAATACAATGAAAGTGATGTCACATGACTACCAAGACTAAGTCATAAAAGGCTTACATCTGTCTCTCTCTCTCAGAATACTCACACTTGCAACCCAGCCATGCTATAAGGAAGCCCAAACTAGCACAAATAAAGGGACCATTTGGAGAAGCCCACACTGAAACACTGTGGTTCCCAGCCAAAAACTAGCATCAACCATCAGACACGCATGTGAACAAATTTTCTGATGATTCAGCCCCCAGGCTTTGAGTCTTCTAGATAAGAACCCAGACATTGTGGAGCAGAGACAAGCTGTCCCTGCTATGTCCTGTCTGAACTCCTGATGCAAGAATCACTGAGCACAATAAATGGTTGTTTTACATCTCTGTTAATGAATGCAAGTCTGTGTGCCAGACACACAGTGAGGCCAAACAATACCCAAACGTCAGAGTTCGGAGCAGAGAAAGGTTTATTACAGGGCCACGCAAGGAGACTGGTGGCTCATCCTTAAAAACCCGGAACTCCCTGAAAAGTTTCAGCAAAGCCCTTTTATAGGAAAGGTGAGGGATGGGCATGGTTAGTTGTTGCAAACTTTTTCAAGTCAGGTCCTTTGTTCTTGGGGTCAGGTCATGGTCAGGTCACGATGTTCCCATAAACCTCCAACAAAACAAACGTTATTCTCTGTTTTGGCAAGAGAGGGCAAGGTCCCAAGGCTCAACTTTCACCCTCCAAGGTCCAGGCCCTGGCTAAGAGAAGGGGGTTATCCTGCCCCCCTGTGTGGGGGCGTGTATCCTGCCCAGGAGCAGGTCAGTTATCCTGTCCAGGAGCGTCCATCCTGCACCCAGTCTGGGCCCTCCCGCCAGTGCCCAGGCCTGGCTGAAAAGACAGATCTCAGCTGGCGGCGCCCTCAGAGCCAGGTCCCCAGACCCTGCCCAGCCATCGTCACCGAGGGAGCAAGGCGCCCAGGACCCAACCTGCCCTCAGGCTCCTCAGGCCATCCAAACCAGGTTCCTCGGACCGTGACCCATGGAGACTGCCACCACCATTAGGTCGAGGAGGTAGGGATAGAGCAGAGGTTCACTGCTGCTTCAAGGCCTGGGCCTGGCCAGTGGGTGGCCAGGGCGAGGGCTCTGGAGCTCAATGGGACACAGCCCTTAGCCTGTCCCTGGGCCCCCCAGCTCACCCACCAGCCTGAGGCCCGAGGGTCTGGGGAGAAGCCCACAGTCCACCTGATACTGCACTCTCTGCCGCGAGGACCACTGCAAGACTGACCATTGCTGGAGCAGGACCTCTAACCGCCATGCTAATAGTCGTGCCCCAATGGCTGCACACCTGCCCCACTCCTATTACATAAGTTTTGGAGTAACTTGTCACACAATTTCATTAAAGTAAATAACAAAAATGGAGGTCATTGTTAACCTTCATAAAAGTAGTTTCAGGAGAATGGTGGAAGTGAAAGCCTGACTGAAGTAGACTCAAGAGAGAATAGAAGGTAAAAAGAATTGGACATATCCAGTATATAAAACATTTTCAAGAATTTTTTTCTCTAAAGGGAAGAAGTGAGGTACCAGCTGTAGTGAGATATGGGTTGGAGTTTTTGGCTTTCTTTTTTAAGTTAGGAGGAAATACAGTATCTTTATATGATACAGTAAGAGAAGCAAACATTGCTGATGCTGAAGAGAAAGGAGAGGAAAGAGAAGAATTAGATCTAATACACGAGTAGAGGGGTTGGCTTAAGATAGATATACATACAGTTCATCTATTTTAATGGGAAGGTAGGCAGAATATTAGGGGCACAGATACAGACAGGTAGGTGAATAAATGTGTTGGTAAGAGCTTGTGCAAGTTCTACTTGGATTGCTTCTCTTTTATTAATGAAATGGTAACTAAAGTCATCAGCTATAAATGAAGATGGGGAAAAAGCATTGGAGATTTAAGAACAAAAAAAATGTATAAAATAGATATATAAGAGAGTGGAAGAGGGTAAAACAGTAGGATTACTAGATAACATTAAACGCCCACTTGAGATTAGTAGTCATGAATTTAAAGTGAAAGTAGAACATAGTTGTGTGTTTTCCTCTATAGTGTAACAGCATAGGTGAAGACAGAGACAAAGTGAAAGAATGACAAAGTCTCTCAGGTATGACCAGAGGAGTGAGTAGCTAAGATAAGATGGAGAATATAACCACTGGAGAAAAGGAGGTCAAGAAAAAGAGAGGCCAGGTTATTTGAAAGATCATCTATATGGATATTAAAATCACCAAGAATTACAGTATTGCAGGAGAGGGACAGTATCACAACAGTATTGCAGGAGAGGAGCTAAAAATCAAGGAATGAAGGAGCTTGACATAATCCTGCTAGATAACTGCTGCAAGGAGAAATGATCGGTGGTACAGTCTGATGGCATAAGATTCAATGTTGGGTAACTTTAAGGAGGTGGACAGAGCAATAAAAAACAATGAGGATGTCTATCCCACAACACCAAATGCAAACCAGAATAACCCACCCCCCCAAAATACTTCTTTCATATGAAACTTAAATTTTATATTGCTTAATATATGACTTATCAACAGAGAGCTTTTAAAAACGTAAATAGACATGTCATAGATTGGAGGACTCCATTTTGTAAAGATGTAAATTCCTCCCAAGTTGATCTATTCAATCTTATTTCAAAATTCTAAGAGTTTTTGTGTGTTTTTGTGGCACTTGACAAACTAATTCTAATTCATATGGACGTACAAATGACCAAAAACAGCCAAGACACTCATGAAGATTAAGATGGGAAGACTTGCCTTACCACGTGTTAAACTTATTTAAAAACTATACTAATTATGATAGTGTTCAATCAGCACATAGACAGGCAATTGAACAATGGAACACAATACAAAGCCTTTCTAGAGTCACACATTTACAAACCTATGATATACACTGCTTTTTTTTTTCCAGGTATATTTTGGCCCAAACACACCTCCCTCATTCTTTTTAACAAATGCATAGTATTTGTGGGGAAAAATAAGCCTAGATATATGTCTCAATCTTTATACTACTCCTCCATCCCTCAAAAAATCCAAACCATAAAAAAGAACAGGGAGAAAACATTTTTTTGATCTTGGATTAGGAAAGGCCTTTCTAGACAAAACTAAGTAAAATCACTGTATAAAATTTTTAAAATTCCAAATGGACAAAAATATCATTAAAAAGTTAAAATTTAAAACCCCAAAACTTAAGAAATTTGTATATGCTTGGCACCCAAGACCTAATTTCCTTAATGAATAATGAATGCCCACAAATTAATAAGAAAAAACCAACAACCAATCATAAAAGAAAAAAAAGAAAACTAAAAAAGTGATCACTATAAAAGTCAGGCTATTAATTATTGGGTTGGCCAAAAAGTTCCTTTGGTTTTTAAGTAAAAAAAAAGACACATTTTTCACTTTTACCAAGAACTTTATTGAACAACATATTCACCCTTTTGTTCCACTACCTTCTGCCATTTTTCAGGCAACTTCATAATTCCATCTTCCCAAAACTTTTTACCTTTTTGAGCAAAGAACTGTTCTAGGTGCCTTTACAGTCTTCCAGGGAATTGAAATTTTCTCCATTAAGAGAATTTTGTAAAGACCGAAATAAATGGAAATTTGAAGGTGCAATGTCTGGTGAATATGGCAGATGAATCTGAACTTCCCAGCCAAGCTGTAACAGTTTTTGCCTGGTCATCAAAGAAACATACAGTCTTGTGTTATCCTGATGGAAGGTTATGCATTTTCTGTTGACTAATTCCGGACACTTTTTGTTGAGTGCTGCTTTCAGTTGGTCTAATTGGGAGCAGTACTTGCTGGAATTAATTGTTTGGTTTTCCGGAAGGAGCTCATCATAGAGGACTCCCTTCCAATCCCACCAAATACACAACATCAGCTTCTCTGGATGAAGACCAGCCTTTGGTATGGTTGGTGGTGGTTCATTTAGCTTGCCCCACCATCTCTTCCGTTCCACATTTTGTACAGTATCCACTTTTCATCACCTGTCACAATTTGTTTTAAAAACAGAACGTTTTCATTATGTGTAAGTAGGGAATCACATGGGGAAATACGGTCAAGAAGGTTTTTTTCGTTTAACTTATGTGGAACCCAAACATTAAAGCAATTAACATAACCAAGCTGGTGCAAATTATTTTCAGCGCTTGATTTGGATATTTTGAGTATGTCATCTATCTCCTGCGTGGTATGATGTTGATTGTTCTCAATGTCTCAATTTGATTGCTATCAACTTCAACTGGTCTACCCGACTGTGAAACATCGTCCAGCGAGAAATCTCCAGCATGAAACTTTACAAACCACTTTTGACATGTTCAATCAGTCACATCACCTTCTCCATAAACTGCACAAATCTTTTTCTGTGTTTCAGTTGCGTTTTTACCTTTCTTGAAATAATAAAGCATGATATGCAAAAATGTTGCTTTTTTTCTTCCATCTTCAATATTAAAATGGCTACACAAAAATTCACCAATTTTGTTAAGCTTTTTTTTAAATGCACGTAGATATGACAGCTGTCACAATACAATCTAACAAAATTGTTTCAAAAGACAACTAAGCACTATAGGGCCATCGTAGGGAAAAAAAACAAACAAATCTTTTGGCCAACCCAATACTTTTGGAGGGAGGGAGAAAGGAGATAAAAGGAGATGGGGAGCTCTGACTCGGATGGGTCAAGTGGAGAGACTTCCAAAGTGATTATCAAAATTTTATTTCTTAATCTGCATGGTGATAAAGGTGTTCGCCTTATAACAATTTATAAACTTTATATTTATTTTGTGTGGGGCTTTTCATATCTGTATGGTATTTGCAATAAAAAGGCAAACAATAAAAACAATCTAATAGAAATGAGTAAAGAACACAAATGCGGAATTAAAAAAAATATTTTTTGAATATAGAAAAATGCACTTATCCTTACTCATAAGTCATAAAAATGCAAATTAAACAAAAGTTATTTTTCATTCAGATTAGCAATAATGAAAAAATTAATAAAAAACAATATTGGCAAGAGTGTAGAACAAAAGGCATGCACTGTTTGTAGACCAATCCCTTTGTAGGATAATTAGCAATATCCATCAAAATTTTAAATGCATTTATCTTTTGACCCAGAAATTCTACTCCTAGGAATAATCCTACAGATAGATACATTTGCATAAGTCTACACAGGTATGCTTACTGCAACATTATCTATAAAAAAACTTTATGGGAGTGAACTCTTCAATCAGACTGTCTTGGATTAAATTCTGGCTTCAATACTTACAAGCTGTATGACCTTGGACAAGTCACTTAAACTATCTGTGCCTTGGTCTCCTTATCTGTAAAATGAAGATAATATTACTCTATAGGATTGTTATGACAATTAAATGAGTTAATATACGTAAAGCTCTTAGAACTGTGCCTAGCATATAAAAAACTATATCGGTATTGGCTATTAACATTAATATTAATGTTAATAGCCAATACTGAATGTCAACTAGTAGAAAGCTGGTTAAATAACTTACGCCATATCCAAAAATGTTTACACTAAACATCTTCCTTGCTACACACAAAAGATATAGTTAAGTTCACAAAGCCATAAACAGTCATTAACAATTTTTGACTTTTATGCTTAAAAATATTCTAACATTATATAAATATTTGTTTTAAATATACCTTAATTTAGAAATTAAGTGCAAATTGAACTTTCCCTACTTTGTAGAATACTAACCAATAAAATACATTATCAGCATGCAAAATGTGAAAGTCTGTGTGTGTGTATGTATGTGTATATAGATATTCAACAAGTTAGCTGAATGTGCAGCTCAATGTAGCATTAGAATACAAATAAATAAAATCGCTTAAGGGTTTAAATTTATCCTTTCCCCACAATTTGTATCCTTAAATCTACCTTTCTGTAAAGACAACAAGTCAATCTTTTGAGATCCTCAGTTGGTACTACAATTTTGAATCATTTACTAAAGAACAATAGTGCTATATTTAGGGATACTATGGCATACAAGCTTAAAAGATCTAATGCCAAGACCTAATACTAATTAAAGAACCTCATACTATCATTGGAAAAAGAGTAATACACATGAAATCAAGTAACAGAAAATACCCATGTAATTCTAAGCTGTATTCATTTATCCAACACATCATCTTAATGTGTGCTGTTTGTCAGACACTATGGCTCTAGCTGTGTAGGTGAAAAAGTCTCTGTCCTCATGGAGCATACATTTTCACTGAAAAGAGACAATATAAACAAATGGACAACTAAATACCTGATACGATTTCAGGTAGTTAGAAGTGCTATGATGTGGTAAATTATAAAACAAAGACTGCAAGTGCTTTCAGAATTCACAATAGAAGAGATCAAAGAAATCTACCTGTAAGAACGAATGGCTTAGTACAGTGCTCAGTACACAGTACTAACTCCCTAGAATGATAATGATTAAGGCTAGATTTGCTGTGGAGATGCTCTCAAGGCATTAGAAACAAGATTGGAGGCAAGTATGAGCATGTAAAATTTGTGAGACACAAAAGAAACTGGTCTGATTAGAGCAGAAGACAAAGAAGAAACAAGACTTGCAAGGTAGGACGTGTCAAATAATGGGAACCTTTAAAATTTAGGTAAAAAAACTTTAAGAAGTATTTCCTATGGGCAGTTACTTCCTTGTATCTGGGATCCACCTCAAAGCAAAAGTAAAGAAGAGACTTATCTGGTTTGAAATAGGCAACCAGAAGGCTTTCCGTAGGCTTTTGGAAGCAGTGTTTTAAGGAGGGTATTTGACAAGTTACATTTATTGGATAAAACAGAAGAGATTAAGGTTGTAAATTTTACACATAGATCAACGAAACAGAATAAAGAGACTTGAAATAAGCCCACACATATATGGTCAAATAATTTATGACAAATGAGCCAAGAATATATGATGGGAAAAAGACAGTCTCCTCAATAAATGGTGTTGGGAAAACTGGACAGAATGAAACTGGATCACTGTCTTACACCATACACAAAAATTAACTCCAAATGGTTAAAAGACTTGAATGTAAGACTTAAAACCGCAAGACTTCTAGAAGAAAACATAAGTGGTAAGCTCCTTGACATCGGTCTTGGTAATGATTTTGGGGGTATGGCAAGAAAAGCAAAAATAAACAAGTAGGACTATATCAAACTATAAAGCCTCTGCACAGCAAAGGAAACTATTAAGAAAATGAAAAGGCAACCTATGAATGTGAGAAAATATTTGCAAATCATATATCTGATAGGAGGTTACTACCCAAAATGCATAAAGAACTCATACAACTCAATACCAAAAAGCAATCTTATTTAAAACTGAAAAGATCTAAACAGACATTGTTGCAAAGAAGACATACAGATGGCCAACAGTTATGTGAAAAGGTACTCAACACCATCAAGTAAATGCAAATCAAAACCACAATGAAATATCACCTCACACCTGTTAGAACGGCAATTATCAAAGATAAGAAAAAACAAGTGTTGGCCAGGATGTGGAAAAAAAGAGGATCCCCTGTTCACTGCTGGTGAAAATGTAAATTGGTATGGCCACTATGGGAAATTAATGAAGGTTCTTCAAAAAGGTAAAAATAGAACTACCATATGATCCAGCAGTTCCACTTCTGGGTGTTTATCCAAAGAAAACAAAAACACTAATTCAAAAAGAAACATGCAGTCCCATGTTCATTGCAGCATTATTTACAATAGCCAAGATATGGAAACAACCTAAGCGTCCATCAACTGATGAATAAAGAAAGTGTAATACAGACATAACAAATGGATAGGTAAATTTTATCCAGCCATAAAAAGGAATGAAATCTTGTCACTTGCAACAATAAGGATGGACCTTGGGGGTGTTATGCTAGGTGAAATAAGTCAGACAGAGAAAGACGTACCACATGATCTCACTTATATGGGGGACCTAAAAAAAAAAAAAAAAGCCAAGCTCAGAGATACAGAGAACAGATTGGTGGTTGCCAAAGATGGCAGGGGTGGGGGCGAATGGGTGAAGAGGGTTGAAAGGTACGAACGTAAAATAAGTAAGTCATGGGAATATAATATACAGCATGGTGACTACAGTTAATAATACTGTATTGCATATTTACAAGTTGCTAAGAGAGGAGACATAAAAATTTCTCACCACAGGGGGAAAAAAACAATTCTGTAACTATGTATAGTAATGGATGTTAACCAGACTAACTGTGGTGATCGTTTCGCAATATATACAAATATTGAATCATTATGCTGTACACCTAAAACTAATATAACATATGCCAATTATACCTCAATTTTTTTTTTTTTCTTTTACGGTACGCGGGCCTCTCACTGTTGTGGCCTCTTCCGTTGTGGAGCACAGGCTCCAGACGCGCAGGCTCAGCGGCCATGGCTCACGGGCCCAGCCGCTCCGCGGCATGTGGGATCTTCCCGGACCGGGGCACGAACCCGTGTCCCCTGCATCGGCAGGCGGACTCTCAACCACTGCGCCACCAGGGAAGCCCCTCAATTTTTTTTAATGGTAAATTTTGTGTTTTTACCACAATAAAAAAAATTTTTTTTGTTTTTTTTAAAGAAGAGAGTTTAAGTCCAGAAAGCCATTAAGAGATGGAAACCTAGACCAGAATGAAGTCAGAAGGGTGAATGGTCCTGCCTGGGCCACATAGGTTACCAGCCATGACTGGTTTTCTGCCCCATCCCTCCCCACCCCCTACGCCCCACGACCCACAGTAACAAGCGCTCACTACCTTCTTCAGAGACTGTGTGAAAGAAACAAGAAGCTCAGGAAAAAAGACATGTTTGGAGCACCTGAAGGGAAGCCCGCAAATAAACCAATTCTTTCAATTCCCCACCCCTGTGTCTCTCTGTCCTAACAGGTGGGATTCTAGAGCCGGAAAAGAACGGGACTCAAGGCCTGGCTAGACGTTAGGTATTCAGTTCCTCGGAGGTAAGGGTCCCACCACTGGGGCTGCAGCTCCATACCCTGGGAGTTGCCAACCCCGGAGCAAGTTTCAACTGTTATGGCGCTCTCCCCGGCGCATCGCTTACCACCACGCAGAGACCCGGACTTCAGGTCCTCTCAGCCTACCGGAGACGCGGCTCTGCGGCCGAGGACTCGCGCGCGCTGATTTCTGATTGGTTCTGCTCCCAGCCAATCCCGGAACTTGCTCTGCCGCTGACAAACAGGCCGCGCCGCTGCTTCGGGATTGGTAGCAGAGCTTGTGGGTGTCGCGCCTTTTCTGACGATTCGGACAACATGGCGGCCGAAGGTGGTAGCGAGTCACAGTTGAGAAGGAGAAGGCGCCGGGACACGGAGGAACCTGAAAAAAGGAAACTCGACGAGGGAGAGCTGGTAGTGGCTGTGGCCCAAGAGAACGAAGAAGAAAATGAAGAGCGCTGGGTTGGGCCCTTACCTGTAGAGGCAGCGCTGGTCAAGAAGAGGAAAGGTAGCTACAGAGATAGACACAGGGCAGGTTGGAATGCTGTGTCCCCCGAGTAGGAGAGTTCAAGCCAGACCCCAAAACGGAGGATTTGTGCCCTCGGAACAGAGGGTCGTCTTCTCACTTCTGGCCGTTCTTTACTCCCGAAATAGTTATTTGGTTTGAGTAAAGCGTCTTTTTGATAATATCTAACACAATTAATCTCTGATTTGTTACAATGGATGCTAAAGCTAATTTATGCCGGTACTTACGTGTTTGGCGCCTCTCATTTAATCCGTACAGCAGCCGTATGAGGTTGGAATTTTTAACCGCGTTTAGCAGATGTGGATAAGAATACTGGTTCTATTTAAGGTTTTCAGTTCAAGAGTGGTGTAGTGTGTTGGGCCGCCGGGGCAGGCGGTGCCTATTTAGAGTGGTAAAGAATAGGTAAAGATAATTTCAATCCTGACTCTTCCACTAATGAGTTTTCTGATATAGTTACATAAATTTCCTGGATCACAAATCTTTCATCTAAAAACCAAGGTCTGTGGTTTTCAAACCATACTCGTGAGATACCATGGCCTGAAGCATTTTTCCACTAACGTGGATTAGTGACAAAATTTTATCAACTAAAAAGGGTGGTCCAAAAAAGGGCGGGGGGGGCAGTGGTGAAAGGGACAGATTAAATTTACTTATTTTTTAAGTTATTGAAATTTTTTCCTTAAACGTATAAGACAATTAAAATGTTGTCTTTCTGAAAGTTCAAATCTTTATTACTCTCCCTACTTAAAAATTTTAAGTGATTTCTCATTATTTTCAAAACAAAGTCCAAACTCCCTAACATAGCATACAAGGTCCTTCTTGATATGATTTCTCCTTACCTCCCTCAGCGCAT